AATGAAATGAAACACACAAACATCAATATTCTAGGCACTGTTGTTGTTGCTACGTGCCGTGGAGTCGGTTCTGACTCACACCCTGTACAGGGTTTCCGAGACTATACATCTTTATGGAAGCAGAAAGCCTCATCTTTCTCCCGCGGAACAGCTGGTAGTTTTGAACTGCTGACCTTAAGGTTGGCAGGCCAATTCGTAACCACTACGCTAATCAGTGAGCTGAAATGAACTGGTATTGGCCATTTTGAATCTGACAACCACATGGCTTACTATGCTGAAAAAGACAAATTGAAGAGGAATGGTGTTGCATTCATCACCAAAAGAACATTTCAAGATCTATCTTAAAATATATGCTGTAATAGGATAATATCTATATGCCTACAAGGAAGACCAGTTAATACCACTATTATTCATATTTATGCACCAACCACTAAAGCCAGTGATGACACCAAAAATTTCTATTTACCTCTTCAATGTGAAATTGATTAAACATGCAATGAGATGTACTGATAATTACCAATGATTGGAATGCAAAGGTTGGAAATAAAGAGAAAGGATCAGTAGTTGGAAAATATGGCCATATGGCCTCGGTGATAAAAACGATGCTGGAGATCACATGATTGAATTTTGCATGACTAATGGCTTTTTCATTGTAAACACCTTTTTGAAACAACATAAAAGACGACTTATACATGGACCTCACAAGATGGAATACACAGAAATCAAGTTGACTGTATCTGTGGAAAGACACAGTGGAAAAGCTCCTTACCACCAGCCAAAACAGGGTCAGGGGCAGACTGTCGAACAGACCATAAATTGCTCATGCAATTTCAGGCTGAAGACGAAGAAAATTAAAACCTGTCCTCGAGAGCCAAAATATGACCTTCAACATATCCCACCTGAACTTACAGAACATCTAAAGAATAGATTTGGTACATTACACACTAATGACCAAAAACCAGAAGAGTTCTGGAATGATATCAAGAACATCATACAGGAAGAAAGCAAAAGGTCATTAAGAAGATAAGAAAGAAGGAAAAGACCAAAATGGATGTCAGAAGAGACTCTGAAACTAGCTTTCTAGCACAGAGATGCTTTAGCAAAAGGAAGAAATGATGAGGTAAAAAAGATGAACAGGAAATTTCAAAGGGCAGCTTGAGAAAACAGATTTCCTTGCTTAGAAAAGAACTAAAGGTAACTCAAGAAGTCAAGTATTATAATGAAATGTGCAAAGAGCTTGAGTTAGAAAATCAAAAGGGAAGAACACACTCAGGATTTCTCAAGTTGAAACAACTGAAGAAAAAATTCAAGCCTGGACTTGCAATATTGAAAATTCTAAAGGCCAAGTACTGAATGACAAAGAAAGCATCAAAAGAATATAGAAGGAATACAGTCACGGCATCAAAAAAAATGGCCAAAATAAAATAAAATAAAAAACATAAATAAATGGCCAATGTTCAGCCATTTCAAGAGGAAGCATATGAACTAGAGCCAATGGTACTGAAGGAAGAAGTCCAAGGTGCACTGACAGCACTGGCAATGAACAAGCCTCCAGGAATTAATTGATGGACTACAAATAGAAATCTTTCAACAAACTGATGCAGAACTGGAGGCACTCACTCACCTTTGCAAAGCAATTTGGCCCATTTCAAAGAGATGTGGCCCAATGGAATGTGGAAATCATCAGACAATATCATTAATATAACATGCAAGTAAAATTCTGCTGAAGACAATTAAAAATCAGTTGCAACAGTACATCAACAGTGAACTGCCAGAGGTTCAAACCAGATTCAGACGAGGATGTGTAATGAAGGAAATCACTGCTGATATCAGACGGATCTTGGCTGAATGCAGAGAACACCAGAAATATGCTTATCTGTACTTTATTTACTGTGTAAAGGCATTCTACTGTGTGGATCATGACAAGCTATGAATGACACTGTGAAGAATGGATATTCAAGAACACTTAATTGTACTCATGAGGAACCTGTATATAGACCAAAACACAGTTGTTTGAATAAACAATGGGACCCTGTTGTTGTTGTTAAGTACCGTGGAGTCAGTTCCAACTCATAGTGACCCTGCTTAGGATTTCTGAGGCTGCAAATCTTTACGGGAGCAGAAACCCTTATCTTTCTTCCAAGGAACAGCTGGTAGTTTTGAACTGGCGACCTTGAGATTAGCAGCCCGATTCATAAACTCTGGTAGCGCAGTGGTTATGAATTGGCCTGCGAATCTTAAGGTCAGCAGTTCAAAACTACCAGCTATTCCGCGGGAGAAAGATGAGGCTTTCTGCTCCCGTAAAGATTTACAGCCTTGGAAACCCTGTACAGGATCGCTATAAGTCGGAACCAACTCCACGGCACATAGCCACCAACCACCACCATGCTACGAGTTCCTTAATGGGACCCTGGATGGTTTAAAATAAGGAAAGGTGTGTGCCAGGATTGTATTCTTTCATCATACATGTTCAATCTGTATGCTGAACACATAATCTGAGAAACTGGAGTATATGAAGAATGTGGTATCAGGATTGGAGGAAGACTCATTAACAATGTGGAGTAAATAGATAATACAACCTTGCTTGCTCACAGTGAAGAAGACTTAAAATATATTCTGATGGAAATCAAAGACCACAGCCTTCATTATGGGTTGAAATCCTCACCACTTGGCCAATAAATAACATCAAGATAAATGGAGAAAAAACTGAAGCTATCTAAGACTGCATTTTGCTTGCATTCACTATCAACACTCATGGAAGCAGCAGTCAAGAGATCAGACGACGTATTGCATTGGGTGAATCTGCTGCACAGGACCTCTTCAAGTGTTTAAGAGCTAAGATGTCAGTTTGAGGACTAAGGTGTGCCTGACCCAAGACATGGTATTTTCAATAGCCTCATATGCATGCGAAGTTGGACAACGAATAAGGAAGAACAGAGAAGAACTGATGCATTTGAGTTATGATGTTAGGAGTACTGAACAAACCATGGACTGCCAAAAGAGCAAACAAATCTGTTGAAAAATGTACAGCCAAATGCTCCCTAGAAGTCAGGAGGGCCAAACTTCATCTCTATTTCAGGCATATTATCAGGAGGGACCAATCCCTGGAGAAGGATATCTTGTTTGGTAAAGTGGAGGATCAGCTAAAAAGAGGAAGACCCCTAACGAGATGGATTGGCACAATGGCACCAACAATGGGCTCAAGTGTAACAATTGTGAGTGTAGTGCAGGACCTGGCAGTATTTCATTTTAATGTCCATAGTGTTGCTATGAGTCTGAACCAACTCGATGGCAAGCAACAGGGTTTGTTGTTGTTGTTAAGTGCCAATGAGTCGATTCCGTCCCATAACGACCCTGTATAGGGTTTCGAAGGACCAGCTGGTGAGCTTGAACCACCAACCTTGCAGTTCAAACTACTTTGCAATCTGGCGCATTAGCCCACAGCACCACATCAGGGCTCCAAAAACAACAGGGTAGGTTACTTAAAACAAGGATAATATAATATCTACCTCATAGCTTTACTTGAGAATTAAGTGAGTCACTATGTGAATACAGTGTACTACAACATCCACTGTTTTCACATAGTAACTCATTTAATTCTCAAGTAAAGCTATTCTCAAGTGTTTGCTATGATTATACTGATTCTGGTCTGGAGAAGGAGGAGTCTGGTGGTGCAGTGGTTAAGAGCTCAGCAGTTCAAAGGTACCAGCTGCTCAGCAGGACAAAGATGTGGCAGTCTGCTGCATGATTACAGGCTTGAGAATTGACTCCCTCCTACAGGGTCATTATTAGTGGGAATCAATCTAAGGTTTAGTTTGAAGAAGAGCAAGCAAGTAACTCCAATAAAGTATAGTAGTAACAAATTAATAGAGAAAACATGTAGAAAAATATCTCCTAAACTGGTGCCTACTCAGAACTGGGAAGGTCCATAATGATTTAGCAAAACAAATGAAATTGTTATGCTTATGATAACTTTCTACCACATCCTTCCATAGTAATTAGAAGACAACAACTTTGCCGTTTTAACTGGAATTTAACTTATAAAAACTCAAATGAGGCTTCAGATTCTCAAGGTTTCTTAAAGGATGTTGATAAATGCTTTGTGAGGGCGAGAATTCCACCCCGACCCCCAAAGCTTAACATATACTTAAAATGGAGAAATGTCAACTGGATGGTGAACTCCCAGGGGGCGGGGGTTTCGCGTAATTGCCTAAATGGAACAAACAATTAAAAAGACGAGGGCTGAAAGGTGTGTTTCAGGGCAGTGTTGTCACAGATTAAATATCAGAACTGGGCATTAAAGACTGGTTCCTGGAGGCTGAGTAGGAGTTCTCCAGGTGAGAAAGGAGGGTGTCACCTTTGGGAAGAGAACAATAGCCAAGGCGTTGAATATTGAAAGCCCACGTGCGTGGTTTGGAGGAACCAAAGAGCAGCTTTTTTTGGGGTGGCCACAGTGTTGGCCTTGGACAGATGACAAGGGAGGCCTGGGGCTTGCCGAGCGAAGGAAGGAGCCCTCCCTCTATACCTAGGCCATGATCCCTCAACCTCGGCGTCCCCACAAGACCCACTCTCCGGGAACCAGTCCGCTGGGCTCCCAAAGGCTCTCGCCAACCTTCCCTTACCTCGTCTTCTAGTTTACCCCTCACTCTCCCGCCTACTCCGCCACGCCGGAAGTGACGTAGAAGCAGTGCGCCATAAAGCACTAGAAAGGTTCCGCGGGCGCGCGAGAGAGTTCCGGCGTCATTCAATGCGCCTGCGTAATAGCGTGAGCGGTCATAGCGCCTTCCGAGGGCGAGGAGCTAAGCTCTCTCTGTGGCTGTATTACCTTCGAAGTGCTCTAAGGAAGGTTCGGAGAGGCCGCCGCTCTTGGAAAGACGTTTTTCGACAGCTCCGGACGCTGCAGGGGGCCCAGCTACTCCAGTTCTTGCCCCTTGACCCTGTTCTCACGGCGGGGTGAGAGGTCGGGTGGCCATCTTGTGGCGGCTGAGCGGGCGGCTGTTACTGCGGAGACCCATCCCCTCCCCCCAAACCACCACGCAGGCGGTGTGTCAGTCAGTGTAGAGTCCGACAGTCTGTCTGGTGAGACCTGGGCCTCGTGCCGTCACTTTTCCCGCCGCACTGGGCGGCCCAGGCCGCTCCCTGCTGGCCCTCCCCGCCGCCACCATGTCCTCCTTCTCCGAGTCAGCTCTAGAGAAGAAGCTCTCGGAGCTGAGCAACTCTCAGCAAAGCGTGCAGACCCTGTCCCTGTGGCTTATTCACCACCGCAAGCACGCGGGGCCCATCGTCTCCGTGTGGCACCGCGAGCTCCGCAAAGGTAAACACCCCTTCCCCGCCCCCTTGGCCCAATGCCGGAGCCTCGTCTCCACCATTCGGTCTCTGGGCTCCTCTACTTCGTCTCGGAGACTTGCCATTCAGACGCTATCCCCATTTCTCGGAGAAGGAAACCGAGGCTCGGGGCAGTTTAAGGGCACTTGTCCGAGCTCCCAGGGTGCATGGACCCCGATTTCCAGTTCTGTAAGCCGTTTGCCTCGCAGGCTCCTCCGCATCCTTGTAACTTACCTTCTCGACTGCCTGGTGGAGGGTCCCGGCTTGGGCTTGTTTGGCGCCAGGCGCTGTGCTAGGTACTTGGAGTAACGGCGGGCGGGCGCGGGAGGCCAGCTGCCGAGTAGTGGTGGGCGCGCTCCAGCCTCGGAAGCTCTCCTTACCTAGCAGGGCCCCGCCCTCCTGTCCGCCACCTGCCCTCGATCCCAGCCACGCTCAGGATCTGGCCGACCTTCCTGGAGCTCAGCCTGGCCTTGGGCTGGGCACCTAGTAGCGCGTTTGCGCCAGAGGCCAACAGCCTGCAATCCAAGCCTGACTGAGCTACTTACTCCTGCCAACACATTTAACCTCCCTATCTCCTAGTTTCCTGCATTCTCTAGAGTCCTATGAAGTGGGAACTTGGCTGATGTGGGAAAAGTGAAGGGCTAACCACTCCTTGGTGGTGGAGGAGCACACAGAATAAGCCAGATGAGCTCTTGTTAATGCCGTCGAGTCGGGTCCGACCCATAGCGACCCCTGTATAGGGTTTCTGAGGAGCAGCAGCTGGTGAGCTTGAACTGCCAACCTTGCAGCTCAAACGGCTTTGCAGTCTGGCGTACTAACCCACAGCGCCACACCAGGACTCCAGATGAGCGCCTATCGGTTTATTTTTAGCATGGTACCAAAATGAAGTGAAGTGAAGGCTTCACTTTGATGATCCAGGTGAGATGGGGGTATTGATGACTCAGTGTGAGGCTGAGCTCCTGCCTTCAGGCTGCTTGCTGTTGGTGGAGGCAAGATGGGCACCTGCACAGTTTTCTGGTATGCCAACATGTGCCACGTAATGGAAGAGCAGGCCTAAAGAGTGGTGCTGGGCAGCCCACATGTGGTAGACCCTTACAGCATAGGAAGTGACTTTGCATGTGCTCACTACTATTTGAGAGCTGGAGAATGCCTCCCAGGCTTGAGAAACTGACGCTCACAGTGTCTAAGTGGTAGGCCTTGGAGCTGCTGAGACTATTATCAGGTTGTTGTTAGGTGCCATTGAGTCAGTATCGACTCAATAGCGATCCTATGCACAGCAGAATGAAACGGTGCCCGATCCTGGGCCAACCTCACTATTCTTGTCATGCTTGAGTCCATTTATAACTGCCACTTGGTCCATCCATCTCGTTGGGGGGGGGGGGGGGTCTTTCTCTTTTTTTTTCTGACCCTACACCTTACCAAACATGATATCTTTCTCCAGTGACTGGTCCCTTATCAGGTTGGTAGGCTCCAAAATCCATTTTGTCTTTTTCCAGCAGACCCAGTTGTTGCTTTGTAGTTGTTGTTAGTGCCATCGAGTCAGTTCTGACCCATAGTGACCCTGTATAGGGTTTCCAAGGAGCAGCTGGTGAGCTTCAACTGCTGCCTCTGCAGTTCAAATGACTTTGCAGTCTGGCGCATTAGCCCATCAGGACTTCTGCTTTCTGTTGTTGTTAAGTACAGTGGAGTCGGTTCCAACTCATAGCGACCCTGCATAGGATTTCCGAGGCTGTAAATCTTTATGAGAGCAGGAATGGCTGGTAGTTTCCAAATGCTGACCTTGAGGTAACCATGACACTACTAGAGTGCCTTTGTTTTCTAGTTGTTGTTATGTGCCATTGAGTCGTTTCCCACCCATAGCGACCTTGTATAGGGTTTCAGAGGAGTGACTGGTGAGCTTGAACCACTGACCTTGCAGGTCAAACGGCTTTGCAGTCTGGCGCATTAACCCACAACGCCACACCAGTTGTTGTGAAATGCCGTCAACTCCCAAATACCATGTGTTGTGCAAAGATGGGGGATCCTCTTGCGCTCTGGGTGCTTGAGTAGAGCCCCCAGTGTGCCTTGTAAACATTATTATCTGTAATGGGTGCTGAGATGTGGAAAAATGTGCATTGCCTCTCCACAGGATTCTAGTGGGTACGATTTCAGTCCATCTCAAATGTCTCTCCCCCTCTGTTTATTGTGTGTATGTGTGCAAGGGCTCTTTGATTCCCCACCTCTCTCTGAGTTATTGAAAATAACAACTTAGGGAATAGATTCATTTTTGAAGCTTCTTGATTCCTAGTCACATATGAATAGAGTCTTCTGTTGTAAGTTGTTACGTTGCCATTGAGTTGTACTGATTCACAGCAGACCTGTAGAGAGTTTCTGAGGAGTTCCTGGTGGGTTTGAACCCACCAGCCTTATCCTACAGCACCACACCAGGTCTCCATGTTGTAAGTTGTTGTTAGTTGCCATCCAGTCTTACATAGACACCCTGTGCTCAACAGAACAAAGCACTGCCTAGTCCTGTACCATCCTCACAATTGTTTTGAGGCTAGAATCCATTGATTGCTGCCACAGTGTCATGTAGGCATTATGATCCCGGTTTTCTAGATAAGAAGACAAAAGATGCAAAGATTTTTGTGCCATTTTCTGACAGAAGACAAAGCTCTAGTGAGGACTTGTTCCGTGGCCTACAGCTAGGATAGGATCCCAGAGCCGTCTGATCCCAAAACTTGAACTCATTGTGCTCAGTAAGTGATGGTGGGGTCCTCTTTGACTCTAACCAAATCCCAGTGCTTTCATTTATTAGAATGAATCACTGCTTCCCACTTCATCATACCACCATTTCATTCTTAACTTGTCTTGTTAAGTGCCGTAGAGTCAGTTCTAACTCATAGTGACCCTATATAGGGTTTCCAAGGAACCGTTGGTATGTTTGAACTGCTGACCTTGCTGTTCAAAGCAACCTTGTGGCCCAGTACTTACTCTGCAGCGCCATACCACTACAATGAGGACTCCTCTTTCTTACTAGTTGTCTTTTTTTTTACTACATTGGGTTTTGACGGAGAAACTTGTGTTTCTTGTTTCTGTGTAACCCCTATGGTGTTTAGCATTGTGTATTGCTAAATGGTTGAGTAAATAGTTTGGGGAATTAAGTTATGGTCCCTGACAAAATTTTCATGATTGAGCAAAGGCTCCAGAGCACTCTTAAAACTTTTTGTGGTGATGGTACTGTTCTCTATTTGTGATGTCCACTAATACGGGACTAAGGAACTGAATTTTTAAGTTGTTGTTGTTATGTGCCCTGGAGTTGGTTCTGACCCATAGAGACCCTGTACAGGGTTTCTGAGGAGCAGCTGGTGAGCTTGAACTACTGACCTTGCAATTCACATGGCTTTGCAGTCTGGCGCATTAACCCACAGTGCCACACCAGGATTCCTGTAAATCTTTATGGGAGCAGAAAGCTTCGTTTCTCCCGTGGAACAGCTGGTAATTTCAAACTGTTGACCCTGAGGTTAGCAGCCAAATTTGTAACCACTACGCTACCAGTAGATGCAATAAAAAATGGATTCTTCGGTTGCACTAGTCACACTTTAAGTGCTCAGTAGCCACATGTGGCTTTTGGCTTTATGTTGGACAGCCCAGAGCTAGAGGAAGCTCCTTAAGCATCAAAATACAACTTCCTAGTTAGTAATACAGGCTTCCTTCATGAATTGAAAATGCCATCAAACTGAAGTGGAAAAGGATTTTTTATCTTCCTGATGTTCAAATGGACTGGCCTTTGTGATTCAGTGCCACCTTGATTCTTTAAGAAGAAGATGTGTCTATTTAGGATCAAGTCATTTTCCCTATGTAAGTTCACAGACTGTCTCTGAGTTGCCTTCAAAGTATATAGAAATTTCTGTTTCTCAACTTAAATACGCCTTCTATTCCTGATGTATTACTTTCTTTCCATTTTTCTAGAAATAAATCTAAATTTACTCCTTTAGGCTCTGTTATAAGTAGAACTTCTGTCTTTATGGAGTAATTTGGTGTAAAATGCTCTTAGATGAACGTGTTTTAATGGTGTTTTTATATCCTAGCCTGAATGCAGATACATAGACCTTTTTCCAAAATTACTTTAAGACTTTTTTTAGGTGTCAAAACCAACCAACCAAATGAAATTTTTTTGTCAGCCAATTGTTACTTTGTTCAACAACTAGTTCAACCAATTTGGAATGGGCATAAGTAGGAGGATGAAAGCACCTATTTTGTCATATTGAAAAGACATCTGAACAAGTGAGTTGTCACCCAGGGCTGGAGTGGAGGGGTGTGTGGTGTGTTTTGTGTATTATGAATATGTGTGTCCAAGTGTGCTAGCACTTTGTCTTATCGCCTTACATGCATGGTGTTATGTTGTTGTTAAATGATAGCAGTGAAGGGATGAAGGTTTGGTGGTGTTTTTTTTTTTTTTACTAGATCACAATTTTTATTTTAAATAATGGATTCACTGTTTAAAATCAAAATGACACAGAAAGCTATACATCAAAAGATCTCACTGTTTCCCATGACCCCACTTCACACATACTCTATTTGCCACTTTTATTGTGTTCCTTTACTTTAACCCTCTGCAAGGAACCTTGGTGGTGCTGTGGGTTAGGCACTTGGCAGGTTCAAATCCACTAGCTCCTCTGTCAGAGAAAGTTGTCTGCTCCCTTAAAGATTTTGTTACGAGTCAGAATCAATTTGATGTCTGTGGATTTGGGTTTTGGATATTCTTCCACTGATAAATATATATGTTGTTGTTATATGCTGTGGAGTCGGTTTTGACTCATAGTGACCCTGCATAGGGTTTCCAAGGCCGTAAATCTTTATGGGAGCTGAAAGCCTCATCTTTCTTCTGTGGAACAGCTGGTAGTTTCGAACTGCTGACTGTGATATTAGCAGCCCTATTCGTAACCACTACTTTACCAGAATGCCTATATATACACACACATATATATATTCATACACACATGTATGTGCATAATGTATATGTACATATATATATATATATATATATATATATATATATATGTATTTTTATATGGGAAGCTTCCAAAAGTACATGGAAAATGGAGTTAAATTGGTAGATTTTTTTCCATGAACTTTTTGAAGTCACCCTCATATAGGTTGTTATGAGTTAGAATCAACTTGATGGCAAGTTTAAATAGAGGGGGGAGCTTCAAAAAGTTTGTGGAAAAAATGAAATGAAAAGATGATGGAAAGGATAATGGTTTTTGAAACTACCTTATATATATGTAACATTTGCCATTCAGCATTTTTTTAGGTGAAAACACTAAAACAGTTTAGTGTTTTACAACATTTATGATTAATGGAGGGATACAGTTTTATCGTAATTAACTCCCTTTTGTTAAGTTTGAGAATGATAGAAATTAATTGGCATTGTATATGGTGAAAACCTTGACCTTAGATACTGAATTTATAATCCTGAAAAATGTACCAGCTCTTGAAGGGCTAAATTGACTACTTACAATATGGATTCTGAAGTATATGGAATTTGTAAAATCTTACATGTTACATTTGCTTTGTGGGAGTTGTTTTTTACATTTGAATCTAATAGCTTTCATAGTACTATGGACTTCACATTTTTACTTACTGCAACTTCTCAGAACAAGATTTCTTTCTTTCTTTTTTTAAAGTCTTTGCCATAATCATACCTTTGTAGCAACAGGTGGGTATTTTAACAAGTGACACTATTCTGCTTGAATAATAATTAAAGTGATTCTAGACAGCTCCTGGTTTCTGTTATTCTCATCAGCGGGTCATCTAAACTTAAGTTATCAGAAGGTAAATACAGTTCAGAATATTCAGATATAATTTTATGAGCACTTTAAGATATCACTTTAAACTGTGATGTGCGTTGCAAAGTCTTGTTTTTTCATTTGCTTAATTCTTGTGTAGCTGCTTTGTCAGGACTTAAACATGCTTATGGGTGTGTTTCAAGTATAAGAAAATTTGCTTCTGAGAGAAATGGAGCAAGAACTACTGTATTTTTCTCCACAAATAACATGCCCATGCACACATATGGCATATAACATGAACACACGATAGAGTTGCATGGTAAGAAAACTATATAGTGCATATAATTTACGTCAAACTTTGGTAGTTATTCAGGTGTATAAAGGTTGACGTAGAATTTCTTGAGTTTTTCAATAATTTTGCATTGGAAAAAACTCTGTTTTGAAATATTTAACAATGCTCTTATTTATGCTTTTAAATGAAAACTAGGACCAAAAATGGTAGTGATGTAACTTTATGGTTAAGAAATTATGTACGTAGAAGCCAAGAAATTTAGTAAAATTTAGTAATGTTCCCCTAAGCAACTGTAACTCGGACATATTGCATGAGGTTTTTAATGGGTTAATATTATTATACCATGTAGAATAATAGGGAACATTACATCTAGTTTGTATAAGAGAGAATTTTGGTTTTTGTGGGAGTCATAATTTTAAATATCTGGATTTCAGATGTATGTAAATTTTCAATAATAATGTAGTATGTATATTTGTACATGAAGGAAATATCCACTGGTACGTCTAGACATTTCTCTGGATTATAGAGTTGGTATCATTGTATGGTTTTCAAAGAAATATTCTCACTAGAATAAAGTCTAAGAGTCTACTGAAATTGAAACCTAACTGTCTTTTACTCTGAAATATTTGATAATTAACAGTGTTATATTTATAATAGAATACATGAAAACTTTAGTTTTAACATGCCTTCTTGAAATATTGTTTATCATTTGTAAACTCTTTTTATGATCTTCATTTTTAATCTGTCAATTAATTACATGGTTAAAATGGCCCTTCCCCTCTGCAACAAAAATTGCTTTCCCACCCTGTTTTGTCAGAGACCTTCATGAGTTCCTTAGGTTATTTTTAAAAAAATATATAGCAGTTCTGACCTTAAAGTAGATAATGCTTGTCTTAAAGTAGATAATGCTTGTCTTAAAGATTTTTAGGAGTAGCCAAGGGCAAAAGAACTGTATATTGAGTGTTTTGGATGTAGTTAAACTTTTTTTTTTTCCTATTTTTTTTTTCCAGCCAAATCAAATAGAAAGCTTACTTTTCTGTACTTAGCAAATGATGTCATCCAAAATAGTAAAAGAAAAGGACCTGAATTCACTAGAGAATTTGAATCTGTCCTTGTGGATGCTTTCTCTCATGTTGCCAGGTATGTTGTCTGTTTTATTTTGTTTTCTGGTGGTGTGTTTTTAAAATGCAATATCCTTTCTCCTTTTTGTTCTGTTTCTGTGAAAGCCTTTGTAAATTGAAAACTTTGTACTTAAAAGAGAGTGCTGCAGAGGCCAAGTTGTGGTTTTGTTTTGCTTGGCCCTTAAGAACGATCTCAGTCATATAAACATTTTGTTGCATTAAAAGATGCAGCTTAGCCCTTGAATTACATCTTTTCCTCCAGATGCATTCACTTATGATAGAGCTTTTTTGAATATGGTATTTTCCTTGGTTGGGCTGAGTTAGCTCATTAACTTATTAGAAAAATCATATAGTACAAGTGAACCTTTCAGTAACAAAACTGTAATAGTAAGAAATCAGTTGCTTATTCCTTCATTTTTACTTATTTCTTCTTTCTGTATATCTAGATTACTAAAAACATTAGTCAGTCTGTACCTGCAAAACTAATGGTTATTAGTGTGGAAGGTTAATTAAGTCTCTGTTACTGTTGTATTTTATAGCAGAGAAGACTGTTGTGACGCTGTAGGATATGCACTGAACCTCAAGGTCGGCAGTTCAAACTCACGAGCCATTCCTCGGAAGTCCTTTGTAAGGTCGCTATGAGTTGGAACCGACTTGATGGTACTTAACAACAGTAACACTTGTATTTTATATCAGAAAGGACTGGAGTATAGTGCATATCTGTAGCTGATCTAGAAAGTATAAATTTGATGAAAAGTTTTATAAATCATTGCTGTTCCTTTAACAAGCTGCTTAAGTACTTGAGCAAAGTGAAACAGGCTAATTTTCAGTAGAACATGACTGTTATTGTTAAGTGCCTTTGAGTCGGTTCTGACTCATAATGACCCAGTACAGGGATTCCAAGGCTGTAAATAAATCTTCACAGGAACAGAAAGATTTATCTTTTCCCCATAGAACAGCTGGCAAGCTCAAACCACAGTGGACCTTGTGGTTCACAGTCCTATGCTTATCGTATGGAGCCACCATACTCCCAGAACATGACTAAATAAATGACAAAAAAATAGATTTTTGCTGAAGGAAATTGGGAAGGGTGAAAAAGAGGCTCATGGGTTAAAAAATTTTCTAAGATCCAAGTAAAAAGTGAAAGGCCTTAAATCTGAAAATAAATCCAGCATTCCATGAAGGAATTGAAAAGTTAGAAGGAATAAAACCAGAAATCTTGAAGAAAGACATGAGATGTAACTTTCCAAAGATGGAACAAAGATTGTACATTTGCTTGTCAGATACATTGCTGGTTCTTTTAATTAACATGGACACTGAAGAAGCAGAATGTGTCATTTACTTGTAAAACAACTGACTCTTTGCAGCAGCAAGTTTAGAACAGACTGTTGGACTAGCTGTTTGACATTGGCATTTTCTTAGTGTTTTGATGAGATTCAGTTTATTTTTTCTCAGACTTTGTAGCTCCTCGTCATTTACTGTCTGGTTGACCTATACTGTTGTTTCCTAATTGGCTAAGGAGGATACCACCTGTATCAGTAGAATTGTATTGAAGCTAAAATAAGGCAATATTTTTGGAAATCAAATGAAATCGAGTCCAACTCAACAACCACCGAATAGTATAGAGTAGATCTTCCCGATAGGGTTTCCAAGGCTGTAACTGTTTACCAAAGCAGAGTGCCACACCTTTCTCCCACGGACTGGCTGGTGGGTTTAAACTATTGACCTTTCAGTTTGTAGTTGAGTGATTAACTACTGTGCCATCAGGTTTCCTCTATATGCTTGAAAATACATGGTAAAATTGGTTATTTGCTCATTCATGAGAACATAATGCATTCTCTGAGCTCTAAGAAAGGACCATTTTAATCTAATTTTTTGCTGTATCTCAATCACCTAGCAAAATGTTGCAGAGCCTCTTGGGTTACGTGATTTTAGGGCTATCATTTATGTAGTTCATTGTGAATGGTGTCCTAGGAGCTGGGAAACATTGTGATCTGTCCAGGCACATAGCAGACACTCTGTAAATATTTATTGAATGAGTTAATTTAGGATTCTAGAGAACTGGCTGAAATAATTTCCTATAGAGCCAATAGACATAGCACTTGTATTTTAAAATTGATCAATATGTACTCGCTGGCCTCACATCAACAAAGGATAAGTAAAAGGGGCAAGGAAAGGAGAACGGGCAATTCCAGGATAAGAAATTCCTTTTCTACCTTGTGATACCATTAAGCTTATTCAAGAGGCACTGTAAAAATGCCTTGGCAGATTCCATGACACAATGTGGAAAATAAATATGTTCTTAATTTAAAAAAAAAAAAAAAAAAGCCCCAATTCATTTGTTTGCATTCCTCTAGTTCTTTGAATGGAGCACTGGTAGTGCAATAATTAAGTGCTCGACTACTAACCAAAAGGTCAGTGGTTTAAATCCCTCTGGTGATCTGCTCCCAAGATGATTGTGGGTCGTTGTTAAATGCCCTAGAATTGGTTCCAACTCATAAGGGTTTATGCAGAACACTGCCCAGTCCTGTGCCATCCTCACAATTGTTCCTATGTTTGAGCCCATTGTTGAAGCTGTTGTTTCAATCCATCTCATGAGGTTCTTCCTCTTGCTTTGGCCCTTACCGAATTTGATGTCCTTCTCTAGGCACAGATCCCTCCTGAGAACATGGCTAAACTACATATATGAAGTCTTGCCATTTGCGTTTCTAAGGAGCATTTTAGCTGTATTTCTTCCAACACAAATTTGTCCTCTGTCAGTCCGTGGTATAGTTTAGCCTAGGAAAACCTGTGGGGCAGTGCTACTATCACATTGGTTCATTGAGTCAGAGTCAACACTACAGCACACAGCAAAAAGGTCTTTTAAGGTCCTCTTTGGCTTCAGGATCACTCCTGTTTTCTAGCCCATCCTGGAACAGAAAGTCCAGCAATTTCCCTTCAGTGGCCAGTATGCCTCAACAACAGCATTCTTTCTGTGTGGTTATTCTATGGCCAGTTGACGATCAAAAGTAGTTGAGCCATCAACACTGACTAAAATTTATTAGAAATATTTTTGATAATCTCCCATTTCTCTCATGCTCTCCATCCACATACCTCCCTAAAAGCAAACAAGTCAGAGCTGCATGATCATGGGTGAAGATATGGTTTGAATAACAGTTAACCAGACTGCTAGCTTATTTTCCATACAAGTGCTGCCTTTTCTTCTCAGTTTGAAAATGGTTGTGCATTTCAGTTTTCTTTCAGCATATTTTAAATGGTTTCTGTATGCCAAGTACTGATCCAGACACTCATGAAAGAATAGTAAACAAGGCAGGCACAACCAAACAAATGAACAAGATACACTCAGAGAGTGATATCAGGGGCATCATAAAATAGAATGGTATGCTAGTGTGGGTAGAGGAGATGGTGGGTCTCGTATAGGTAGTGTGATCCAGGAAAGCCTTGCCAAGCAAATGACATTTGAGTTAATCATACAAAGTCGAAATAGCTAACCTAAGGTGGAAATAATCTCGGCATGTTAAGAGAAACAGAATGAACACTAATGTGGTTAGAACACAGTGAACAGAGGAGAGAGTAGTATCAGGTGAGAGAGATGTGGGTAGGTACCATTCATGTCGAATTCCTGTAAGCCTTAGGAGTTAGGATTTCATTATGATGGCATATCAGTGAAGGTTTTTACCCAGGGAAATTATTCCAACACAGTTTAGAAAGCTCCCTCTGACTTGCTATGGAGAATAGTTGGAAAGTTCAGGAGAGGTAGCAGGCAGGTGAGTTTGAGGGCTGTTGTAGTACAGGGTAGAAATTGGTTAGTACTCAGAAGCAGTGAGGTGATGATAAAATCCGTTCATCGAATGCTTAATTTTTTGGATAAATTTGGGATGTGTGTGTGTATATTTTTCTTTTTCTACATAAAACTGGTAGGATTTTGGGGAGCTAAATGGAGGTGACATGAGTATGAATGATGGCTGTTGGTGCCATTTACTGGGATGAAGACAGTAGTAAAGATTTGGTGGAAGAAGAAATGGTGATCTTTGTTTGAGCCATGCTAGTTTTGAGATGGCTGTAGGAGGAACACTTGTCTGCTAACCACAAGCCCACCAGCTGCTCCTCAGAAACCGCTCCTTAGTTCAAAACCACCACCCACTATGAGTCAGAACCAACTTGATGGCATTTAACAGGAACAACAGCATTAGATATTTAAGAGGTCCCGGATATCTACAGTTAAACACTAGACTACTAGACTAAAGATTGGCGGATTGAGCCCACCCCAGGCATCTTGGAAGAAAGACCTGGTAATCTGCTTCTAAAAGCTCACAGCCTCAACAGTGCCAGCGTGTGTAATTCTCTTCTGTGTACATGGGGCTGGCATGAAAAGTATACATTTAATGCTAATTGGTTTTGGGTTTTTCTCTTTATTTTTAAAAAATTTTATTAGATACCCCAAAGGAAGGAAGATACCTGATTAGACAAATGAAATAGTCTGAAGCTCAGTAGAGAATTGATTTTTGGAGCCATTAATTGGGGAGTTAGCACCATATACATTGTTATGTTGTTGTTGTTAAGTGCCCTAGAGTGGGTCCAACCCGTAGCTACCCTGTATAGGACTTCCAAGGAACAGCTGATGGGTTTCAATTGCCGACCTTGTAGTTCAAACTGACCTTGTGGTCCAGCACATTATCCTTCAGCGCCACACCAGGACTCCTAGCACCATATACGTTGTTGTTGTTGTTAAGTGCCGTCGAGTTGGTTCCAACCCATAGCAACCATACAGGGTGTTTGTTATTGTTGTGCCAGGGATTCTCAAGACTACTACTAGATTTGGTGGCTCACGAGGAGGGCTCTTAAAACTTAAAGAATAGTTGTGTTCATGGCTTATGATTTATTACAGTAAAAGAAAACAAAGAAAAATCCCCAAAAGGAAAAGGCACAAGGGGGGTGAAGTCAAGAGGAAACCAGGCCTAAGATTCCAAGAGTTCTATGCCAGTTGCGTCTCACAAGATATGCTTAATTCCTTCAGCATCAAATTGGGTCAAGTGTGAAGTGTTGATTAAGAAAGCTCATTAAAGACTAAAGTTAGTCATGTAGGCACCCTCTGCCTAGAACTTAGTAAAATTCCACACCCCCAGAAGGAAAGCCAGTGTTCAGCATAAACCATATTGTTTGCACAGTTTAGACATAGTGAGCCATCCTTATCAGTTAAGGAATGGTGAGAACACTTGAAATCCAAGTTTCAGATGCCAGCCATTCTTATAAGCAGGGCTTTCTAAGGATAGTGGTCTCAGACTTGTTACATTAACTCTTTTCTTCTCACTTGTCAGACATTTTTGCTTCAGCTTTGCATGAGGTACTATTGGAAGTTCTGGGGAGACTAAGAAGGGATTCCTACCTTTAGTAGGCATGACATAGGTCTGTGTGTGGGGTCAGACCAAAGCACACAAATTATAATAGACATACTAAGGGTGCTCTATAGAGACTCAGAGAAAGAGGCCTCTGGGCTGGCTTGGCAAGACTCCAGGTTTCCAATGGCCACGTCAAACAGCAACTCTGTGTGTGTGACATATACATATTTTTCACCTGTTAAGGTGAATTTTGCCATCTCAGAAAAGTGGGCAGTGATTGAATTTATAAAATTAGAACTAAAACACATACTTGTGATGTAGTCTTCAATGTAATATTATTTGTACTTCTTTATCCTAATTTTTATGTTCCTCCATATTTTTCATAGACTAATAGCAGACATTTTGGGGCCTTTTTCACGTAAAGATTCCTCAATTTAATATGGATTAAGATCAACGGGAAAAGGGCGTTCCTTCTGTTATAAAACTACATTATTGCTTTAGTTATTTATGTATGATTCCAAGTGCTTACGTTAAGTGACTTCCAAGTTAACTGGAGCTACTTAATTCAGCTTTGGAACTTATCTAGCAAAACATTGATTTATTTGAGTACGTGATGAAAAATGTCCTGATTAATTGGTGCTGTAGGATAAGCACTGGACTGCAAAATCAGTTTGAATCGCAAGGTCGCTGGTTCAAACTCTTCAGCTATTCCTCACAAATCCTATACAGGATAACTATGGGTCAGAACCGACTCAGTGGTAACTTAACAACAACAAAATTATAAACTATAGCATGTAATTTTATGATTATAACAGGTTTGAACATTGGTTTTCACTGTATAATTATGTAGCTAGATTTGTACTTAAAGTCAATCTTCATCTTATTAAGGCCCAGATATCTTGAAGAATGTTGGATACTGAGTGAGTGGGTGTCAGCTCTACCCCCATTTTTAAAACTAAATGTTTGATAAGAATAAGCTCTCATGATTGATTCCGCTTTCTTTTAAGTGAACACAGATTCTGCAGAGAACAAGTAGATGTTAAATTAAGAGTTATTATTGTTGTTAAGTGCCGTCAAGTCGGTTCCGACCCATAGTGACCATGTATAGGGTTTTTGAAGAAAGGCTGGTGATCTTGCACTGCCAACCTTGCAGTCTAGTGCATTAACTCACAGCCCTGCACCAGGAGTCCATGTTACAGGTACCACCCAGTTGATTAAGTTGTGATTTGGTTATGCTAGTTATAATGTCTGTCTTTCTAAACCATAGATTTGATCACATCAGACACTTCTATTATCTGTAGGATTAAGGCTCTGTGCTCAATATGGCATTCAGAGTTCTTTATAATCTGAGTGCATGCTATCCAGAGTCGTCTCCTATTTTCTCACTTACTACATATACTTCAGCCACCTGAATTACTCCTAATTTCTTCCTCTTAGCCTTGTTCCATTTGTGGATGTGGACTTTACACAACAAAGGCATGTGAATGAGAGGGGCAAATTTTGAGTAGAAAATGACTGATAGTTTAGTGCCGCTAGAATGTGAAGCCCCAGGAAGAGTATGGAAAGAGATGACTAGAGAGGTTGGACCCTAGAGATCTGAACCTAGGTCTTATTCGTGGTCTTCCAAGTACAATAATAGTAATTCATAAACCCCTTCATTGACTGAGCGAGTGTGTGTTTAGGACTTGCCGGCCATGAGTGACCTGGACGTTGGTGAGGTGATTGTTGAAAGTCACGCAACTGGACGACCTACTGAAACTTATAAAGATTTCCAGAAAAGTGTCTAGTATGCTTGTTCTCATGCATATAGCAGTTGGGGTGGGAGGTAAGTCCCTGCCTTTGTAGAAATTCAGATGGAAGGAGAGTGGAGATAACAAGTAAACTTTACAGCATGCCAGAAGATAAATTGTATGGAGAAAAAGTAAAGGGGCAGGGATTATAATTTTTAAAGAGATTGGGGTGGGGAGTGGGACTTGCCCACCAAGAAAGTACTGTTTAAGCACATATAGATCACTATGTGTCAGAATTTAGCCCAACAACACCTAACAAGAGACCTGCAGGAAGGGAGGTAATGAACACAGCACCTCTGTCTGGGGAACTTTTGTTCCAGACAAAGCGAGCTGTAAGTGTAAACAGATCCAAGGTAGCTGTTACAGAGAACATTGGAGAAAGAGTGGGTAGGAGATGAGGCCAGAGAAATAGTCGGTTGTGTTCAGAAGGCTGTATGACCTTTATAGGTACTTTAACTTTTAGTCTGTGGGGAAAAGGGAATGACCAGTGGAAGTTTTGAGTAAAGCAGTGACGTGATCTGACTTAACAGCAGCTGGAATTCTATTTTTTGAAATCTGAGTATAAATTGTTAGGGATCAGCGGTGGAATCGCTGTTGCAGTCATCAAGGCAGGAGATGGTGATATGGTAGTGGCTTGGACCAGATTGGTAGCAGAGGAAGGGATGAGTTAAGTTGTTTCTGGATCTATTTCGAAGGCAGGGTAAAAGTGGTATCACAAATATTAAATAATTGTTGGTATTAAGAGTCGTCGAGTCGGTTCCAACTCATAACAACCCTGTATAGGGTTTCCAAGAAGCAGCGGGTGAGCTTGATCAGCCAACCTTGTGGTTCAAATAGACATTGCAGTCCAGCACATCAATCCACAGTGCTACACCAGGACTCCTGGCCCTAACTTTTAGCTGTATAATCAGTGGAAAGTCACCACCTCCCGCCCCTGTTTTTTTTAATTTTCCTCTAAATCTCACCTCTGACTGGAAAATAAAGTTGAAGGAGTAAAATTATTAATTTGTGTGTGCCTTGATTTACTCTTTTGTTCCCAAGTCAATGAAACTTGCCACTAATATTTGATAAGTAATGTAATCGGATCAGGCTAGGCTGAAATCTCATCTCACCTCGGAGTGTTAACATGCTTTAGAAAAGTAGTTTCAGGGTTGGAGGTGAATAACATTCCATCTTGGCTGAATTTGGTGTGGTTTCTTGAAGTTCCTATTTAAAAAATCTGATTTATTATTCTAGAATTTAGGGGAATTCCTTCTTGTTTAAAGTCACTGAATATAAGATTTTTGACACTGAATTTAAACTGCGACTTTAAACAGTCTAAAAAAAACAGCATTCTGGTAGATGGTGACTTTTTCCATTTAGAAAGTTTTCCTTCACTTTTCTATTTGCTGTCTGCCACATTTTACGATAGGTAACTGCTTCATACTGATTGCTAGTTATAGTAATCTCATTGAAAAAATTCTGTTTTGAGAGTATAATATGCAAAAGAAAACCCAGCTACCTTCTTACAGAAATCACAAAGGATTGTCTTATTCTCAATACATTAAAAATAGCCTGTTAGACAGCCTTGTTTAAATATGGAATATAAGCATTCCAGACTAAAGTTACGGACAGCTTATATTGAGAAGTAGTTAATTGAGAGTTGGGATTAGTCTTGGCATATATATATGTATGACTGCCTTTATACATGTGGAGGTATTGGTATGTTAGCAATGATGAGTTGTAGAATGATGAATTGTAGACATTTTAGTCATTTGAGTTTATTGTAATCATTTTTTTTTTCTACACTTTAAAGTTTTTGGTGCTTGAATTTCAAGCAGATTGAACTTCCTAAAAAGCAATAGATATGATAGATTAAAAAAAAAATTATCTGTAAAAATCAGCCATTGGCTTTTTATCGTCTTTGCTCTTTTCAAAGGGAGGAAAAATGATGGATTACTTGTGTACTATAATGTCTCTCTTCCCCACCCACCACAGGAAGAATATGACTGCTGGTCAAGTTGGGTACCCAAGTATCACAATCTGTGCCGTACTCTTCTTTCTGGTTCAAATATGTAAATCATTTAGTCAGTTGTTGATTTTTTTTTTTTTTTTACGTAGATCTGTCCTAATTTGAAACAGGAAAAATACCTTCAGCTTATATATCTTTTCATCTTTTCTGGGCAGAGAGGCAGATGAAGGCTGTAAAAAACCTTTAGAAAGATTGCTGAACATCTGGCAAGAAAGAAGTGTGTATGGCGGCGAGTTCATACAGCAGCTGAAGCTGTCTATGGAGGACTCCAAGAGCCCTCCCCCCAAAGGTAGAAACATCACCACATGTTTACAGCTCTTGGTCTTTGCCTGCTTTCAAATCAAATATGAAAAGCTGCTGTGGGGGTTGCTGTGAGCCACCAGCGATTGTATGATTCTTCAGAGAGATGATCATGAATGATGGTGAGAATTTATGTGGGGCTTGCCGTGTGCAAGCTGGTTCTAGTGCTCATGCGGGTCATCATCTCATTCCCTCACTTTTGTTATGTATTCTCCTGGTGGTCTCTTCTGCTGTTCAGAGACTTATCTTACTCAAGGGAAAGGAATAACAAAGATGTTTCCAACTGTGGTGAATGAACTAGGACATGCCCTGAATGAAGATTTTGTGCTAGCCTTGCCATTAATTATTGTAGGATCTTGGATGAGTCCCTATTAAATAATTATCAGATTTTTGGAACGTAACTTTTATGGTTGTTAGATTGCTGCCTAAAATTGATTTTTGTGTTTACCAAGCCCAGGACATCCTTGGAAAATATATGCATGTATGTACGTGAATTTTACTGAGTCCTTCATAAGCACCTATGTTACTATCCCTTTAAAGAGGAGTGAGAAAGTCAAATACTATTTAGTTATGTGATTTTGGGCTAGTTGCAGTTGAACTCTAGCTGGTATGGCACATTGATAAGCCTCTGAGATCTGATCTTATCTGATTACGTACACAGCGCTGCCTAAGGGATCAAGTCCAAACATAACATAGTATTTTTTTTTAATCTTTTATAATCTGAACTAGTCTATGTTTTCAGATTCTTCTGCCATTTCCTTATGCACACTGTATGTATTAGGCCACATTGAATTGCCAGCAGTTTCCCCTTGGGGTGGTCAGCTGGCATTTGTTTCTCAGCATCTGCAGTTATCTCTACATGAAATGGCCTTTTGCCTATTCCCCTGTGTGGGGAACTTAATCTTCTAGAATACTACTTCCATTCGGATATCTCCCCCTAGTTCATCTCGGCACAGGTGGCCATTCCCTCCTTGCTCTCCTGCTTGTCTTTGGTATAGAACTTAACCATGACTGGCATGCATGACAGTATCATTTAGTAGCCTTTGATTATGAGTTTCCCATAAGCTCTTCTGGGTCTAAGATTATATGCATTTTATTATTATTATTTTTGTAATGTTTTATTGTGAATTATATGTTAGTTTACATGAGAGAACCTCAGTTCCATATTCATTCCATCGTATATCATTACATTGCCATGGTTCCAATCCCCTCCATGCATTGTCTTTTGACCAAAGGGCATATCCTAGAAGGCTGTGGTTTACACTCCCCCCTCCCGCCTCAGTCTTCGGCCCACAGTTCCTCTCCCTCTCTGGATCCAAAGTCCCCAGCCGCTTCATCCCTCCATGTCATCATCTCTGTCTCCATCTCAGGCGTCCTCGGTTCTCTGGGTGGGGTCCCATTCTCGGCTCTTATCCGTTTGTGGTCCCAGAGACCTCAGCTCCTAGACTGGAGAAATAATTGCTCTCTTCCTTGCTACAAAACATCTACCCTTGCATTTCCAACACTTACAATCCTTCTTGATAACCATTATTCACTACAGTATCGCATGTAACCCATCTGTATTTCATTTCATCAGCTCCTCCTAGACAAATTGGATAGTACTCACTGGTGATTCTGCCGTCCTCCATGCCCCCTAGCTCTCTAGGTTCCCTCTTGAAAGCTTGTATGCCAGTTATTTCTTGCCTTTGTTCACCGGGTACGCTGTAGCCCCGTTTTAGGTATTCCTATCAGTTAAAGACAGAAGACAGATTTATAAGCCTTCTAGTGTGATGTTTCTGACTATTCCTTTCTCTCCCCCTCCAGTGTCTACTCTATATTATAATGCAAGGGAAACCAAGATTCAAAAGAACAGTCAAGCATCTTAACACGATTCCC